GTGTTCAGCAGTCATTCAAAATAAGGGATACTCTACTAAGTACTAAGGTAAATAAAGTGTAAATAAGAGGAATTATAAAGTTTTAATTACTAACAAATTTTTTTCAGAACTCCAAAGTCAATGAATCTATTTTATTGAACAGCAGAAAATCGCTGATTTTGTATAATAATATTTTTAATTGTAAATATAAGTTTAGAAATTTAATCTTTTTTATGTTAAAAAATTACCAAAACAAACAAATAAAAAATTTAATTCGCGTTCATATAGAGTTTTATTGGCCCACAAGATGTTAAATGAAGGTGAATCTATTTTTCTGAACAGCACTATATATATATATATATATATATAACGACATATTAGTTATAACGACAGATCCAAAAGTCCCGAAAAGTAGTTTGCCTCTTATTGATATCGTTTATGATGACATTTCGCTTATAGCGACCAATTTCAACTGTAAATACACTACTACATTTTAAACAAATTACTAATTATGGCAATAAACCTTCCTTTTATTAGTCATTTACTTTCCAATACCAATTTCATATTAATATGAAATGTAATTTTTAATGCGTTTTACTTTGCGTTTTTGTTGACCTCAGATTCATTCTCTATTCCAATTATTTGTTCTTTCTACTGCACTCATTTTTTTTTTTTTTTTGCCCAAAGGTCAATATCGAAAAAAATATGTAAAAAAAATCCCCAAAGACTTTAATTCCCCTGCAGACATATTATTCCCTTTTGCCTTTCCTACGTAGTAAGTAATAAATCGTTTGGGTGACTCAGGTTAAAGTGGCAAGGTGTTACAATGTCGTTTACATTAACTTATTATTCACTTTTTTTACAATTTAGTGGTGATTTTTTGTTGTTGTTTTTGTTAAGTTAGTAAACATTTTTACTATTGTGATTTTGTCTACCCGCCATGGGGGGTTTGCAAGGGGTTTTATTTGCCAAATAAAAAAAACATGCATATAGTTAAGTTTGTATTTATGTAGTCAAATATATGGATAGGCCGCCAAAAACCTCCACTGGTTATTTCCAACGAAAATAATAAGGATATATGTAAGGTTGTGAGTTGAGATGGCTACGTTAAGCCTATTATGGTGTAATAAGAAATCATGAGACACGCAACATAAATGGCCTCCTGGTGAAATGGCACAGTGGAAAAGTTTTGCAAATATAAATAATATTTATATATAGCAAATATGAGACACGCAACTTCAGTACGTTGTTCAAAATTTTGTGGCAATCTGCCGAACTATGGGTTTTTGATGCACCTCTTACTTAAAATCGGACGAAAATATATATGGCAGATATATCCAAATCTGAACAAAATTTGACGAAACAAAAATCGGACGAAGCTGTGGTCCAAACTACTGTGCCAAATTTCATCTATTGAATATTTTCGCCATAAAACAAAAATTTGGTCACTTTAGGTCTTGGTGATTTGACTCTCGGAATATTAACCAATCATCATCTAAACCGCCGTTCTAAGTATTTGGCCAGATTCCCTTCACCGTGAAAATATGTAATGTTCTGCATATAATAATGGTCTTTAGAGTGACTAGAAAATCTGACAAAAATAATGATTTCGGTTCATTGTACCCCTTTAAATATCATCTCAACATCACAGCGCCATCAGCGCGCCATATCTGTGTTGTACGACTTTCAGCTGCTGCGAATAATAATTTCCTACCCAATAAAGAAATCCACTCAGACCTATCTGATTCACTAGCCTAGACATCCTTCTTCCAATCTTGCTAACAGACAACGACTCCTAACCTTTCCGGTTCCACCCAGGAATGTTTAACAAATTGCAACTGAATAAACGTTTAGTTTGATGATTTCAGCGTGCCTACAAACCACACCAAATACTTAAATGGACCACCCCCATTCTCGCATTATAGCTAAAAAAGGTATATACGCTCTGATACGGCAAAAATATGCTTCATCGAAATATTGGTTTTAGATCCTATGTTTCTTTGAGCCAAATCCGTTTCAGACAATTTGAAGTTGATTTACAAATGCCCATCTATCTGTCTCCGGCTGGTGCGCACGAAAACTCACGAAGGTAGTAACCGATTTCATCCAAACTTCGCACATTGTAATATTTCTTCCAAACTTAGTTCAAGTTTGAACTATTCGATTTGAACCACACTTTGTACAACCTGTTATCTTTACCAAGCTTAGATTAAGTCCGAAGATGGGATCCATTGGCGAAAGGACTGTCCGGTATGAACCAATCTTTTCACAACCTATTATCTCTACAAAGCCTAGATCAAGTCCAAAGATGAGGCAAATTAATCCACTCTTTCTGCCACATCTTCTACAAAGAGTCAATATTTTATAAATTTGTAAATTTAATTTGAAGCGAATAAAATAAGAGTTTTGATCAAACATATTCCAGATCTTTGATAAACATAAATTCCTTATATAAAACAAAAAATAATAAAACATATATAAAATAATTATACATATACAAAATATATAAAATTTGTCTCGAAATATTCACCGGAGACCCCATAAAGTATAAATATTCTTAATCACAATAAAATTATATGTCGATTTATGCGTGTCCGTCTGTTGAAATGACGATAGAGTTCACAATGGGTCTCATGCATAAAAACGAGTAAAAGCGATGAGTTGAGTCAAGTTAGCAATTGCTCGTATGTTGAGTTCGATCGAACAGCAACAGCTTTTGCTCAATTTCGTACGCATAAAAATGAGTTCAAACCAATTGCAATTACTTGAGCAAATTGAGATCAAACTTCTAATTGTTATTGAAGTGCTAACATGTCGTCAAGTGGAAGTGATTTAGAAGTTGTAGTAAATACTAATAAAATAAAAACTGACGATATATCTACATTTTTAGTACAAACAATTAAAGAAAATAAATATTTACTTTAAAAAAGTCAGTTACCAAGCATTAAAAATAAGAAAAAAATCAAAAACTCCAATTGCAAATGGAAAGGAATAATTTGCTTACCATTTCATTTGACCATTTTTTATTTGATCTGCATCTTTCGGGAATTTGATCCACTCGCTACACAGTTGATTGATGTACTCCAATATCTGTGGATATACCATTTTGGAATCCAGGATCTGCACAGAATCGTATATAGAGATAATTTTATCAATGTTGCTAAGGGCACTACCACTCCTCAAAAAAATAATTCGCTAACCAGCAAATGCTGCTACCATCATGTATCCTCACTTGCTAAATTTGTCTTGCGCTGTTGATAAGATTTTTTATTTATTTGTGGTATAAATTATTCAGCCATGATTCCTTTTTAGTTTACGCGAGTCAACTAAGAGGCATGCTCACAAAAGTAAGCAAAAGCTTGTTTTTATGCATATGAAAATGAATACAATCTCATCCAACTTCAATTTCTAAGTTCAAACTGAGCAAGAAGAGATCAAACGTGAGCAGTGAGTAAAAGCAAATACATCAAATTATATAATGCATACGACAAACACCTTTTACTCAAAAAATCGAGTACGTTTTATGCATGAGACCCATTGAACTTATACGATCCACAATTTGATAATTGGATGCACTATTCCTCGCATTCTAAACCTTTTGGAAGAGGTTATGTTTGTTTGTTAGTGATTTGATTTTGCTATCTATGATGCTCCAAAGATTTTTCTATAGGGTGAAGATCTGAAGATTGTGTTGGCCATCATAAAACCCGGATTTTTGAATCCCGCTGGGGGTTATTGTCAAGCTTCAAAACAAAATATTCATGGAATATTTTCCAAGATAATTTTCTGTGATAAATTATGTTCACAATTATTAATAATTATTCCTTTTAGTGTACGCGAGTCAACTAATAGTCATGCTCCACAAAATTTAAGCAAGAGCTCACAAAATACAACTCCTAATTTCAAACTGAGCAAGAAGAGATCAAACGTGAGCAGTGAGTAAAAGCAAATACTTCAAATTTTATTATGTATACGACAAGCACCTTTTACTCAAAAAATCGAGTCCGAGCTCAAGCTCACGTTTTATGCATGAGACCCAATATTTAAGATAGAACTCTAAAATTTTGGACAGACATTGCTAGTACAGCGGATCCATAATATTGGGTAATATTTCGCGATATTTGCACCCTCGTCACTGATATATAGGCCAAAAGCTTCACTTTCTAACCCTGGCAAGTTTTCCATATGTTGTTTTCCCAAGGTGAATATTTACGCCATAAAATAAAAATGTTGTCATCAAAGGAGTCGTTCTAAGGATTTTGTCAGATCCTCTTCACCATGTAAAATAAGTAATGTTCTGCATATAATAAAATCTGAAAATGTGGCAATAAATAAAGTTTTCAGTTCATTGCAACCCCTAAATATTATCTTAACATTACCGAAAATTATAGGCTTCGTCCTTGATCATAAACGGGACTTCATGCTATATTTCAAAGCGATCAGCGCTACATTTCCGCCCTCCAATTATTATAGAATTATATATGACTTCAAAATCATCCTTCTCTTCGTCATATTATTCCCATATAAAGTAATAATATGTTAGCCCTAGCTGATTATAGTCATATAAGTGTCTTAACCTTGACGACAGTCAAGACATTTTTATTACATACCGGCGACCTGAGTTCGAATGCTTATCTAATATTTTTTGTTCAGAGTCTTATAACCTCCAATATTATCCACTGTGTTTACTTTAATGTGCGAAGAAAATTTATTACGTTTTTAACGCTTACTAAAGTTGTGAAATTCTAGCAAACACTTTTACACATCCAATCAAACACATACTAGATTCCAAGTAAAGAAAATACAAATTAAGGGAAAACATTGGAAAAAACAAGGAATGACCAATGAACTATAATCTAAGATAGGCAACATTTATTTTTGGAACTTCCCCCGAAAAAAACACACACACATTAAAAAAATTCAAGTTCAAGTTAATCGGAAAGCTCACCAAAACAAATGAATCCATTCAAGGTTAATTCGATAATAACGTTTTTCTTCACATTTCTTCTTCTCTTCTACAGAATTGGCAGTGCCGATACATTGGAAGTGGTGGCCTCGAAATCAGCTGGAACGGGTAGTGAACCATCCACGCCGGAGGATAATATAAATGTTGTGGTGCGAGTTCGACCGCTCAATGAGCGAGAGAAAAGAGATCGCCATGGTTCAATATTACAATTTCCCGGAAATGGACAAATTATTGTATGTATCTAAAAGAGGGAGAGATTTGAATTTATTTGTAAAAATAAATATTGTTTTTTATTTTACAGATTGAAGCCAATAATTCAGCCAAAAGTCGTAATCGTGAAAATGTCCGCGTCTTTACATATAATGTTGTTTTTGAACCTGGCGCCACCCAAGAAGATATTTTGGATTATTCTGGTATTAAGAGAATCATTGAAATGGCAATTGAGGGCTTTAGTTGTACAGCATTTTGTTATGGCCAAACGGGTTCGGGTAAAACGCACACATTAACCGGTCCACCAGATTTGGTAAGTATAAAATTATAAAAATGTTAATAGGGTATTTGGATGGTATGTACAAAAATGTATTGGGGCATTTATATAGAATTATTCTGTCACTGTTGTTATTAGGTTATTCCCGAACCCAAGTTGGCTAGTCGTGGTCATTACATTGTTTAACATGGTTGGCAATTCAATTATTATGAAGATAGCATAGCACAATAAATAGGTAGTCCACTTAGCAAGCTGATAATTAGATTAACTGTCAAAGTGTATAGTTTCTACTTGAATTCTATGTGCAATGTTGCCAACCATCTGAAATATTACAAGAAAAAAATTGACAGGTCGGGACCATGTTACAATAAATAGGTAGTCAATTTAGCGCAGCTGATGTCTTGATTAAGTGTCAAAGTGGGTAATTTCTACATGAATTCGATGTGCAGTGTTGCCAACCATTTGAAATATTATATGAAAAATTTTGACTGATAATCGAGACAGATAATGATATTGTTTGTTCTACCTTATTATTGCATCATGGTCGGGACCATGGTACAGTAAATAGGTAGTCCATTTAGAGCAGCTGATGTCTTGCTTAACTGTGAAAGTGCGTAGTTTCTACATGAATTCGATGTGGAATTTTGCCAACCATGTGATATATTATAAGGAACAATTTGACGGATGGTCGAGTGGGTAATTTTTACTTGAATTCGATGTGCAGTGTTGCCAACCATTTGAAATATTATATGGAAGAGTTTGACAGATAATCGAGACAAAAACAAAGGTTTTTGTTTTGATACATCACCTTATTATTGCATCATGGTCGGCACAAAAACAATGTTTTTGTTGTAATATTGCCATTCATAGGGAAATCAGGAATTTTGAGTAGGTATAGCTGAGTAGTTTAATAGTCATGTGTTAGGTATCGAGCTATCAATTCGTACCCAATAGAAAATGAGGCAGTTGCACCATTCTCTCAAGACTACTCGACAGCTCCAACTCCTCTGCTGCTATGTATAGTCTCCGAGTATAACATTCACACGGTATTGTTCTACTGCCTGTGCAACTGCATCTGAACGAATGCTTTTCACACATGCCTGATAGGTGTGGTGATTCAAAGGTTCACGTATGTACCTTTGGACCCTTCTTTCTAGATCGTGAAGATATGGTGGTGTAGATGAACAGGTATGATCTTCTTTTCCTCCTGAACATAGTCCAATGGTGACAGGTCTGAATGTTCTGAACATGTTTTCCGTTGTGTATCACTCACGCACGGCGGATAACTTACAGACCTATGGCTTTAAAGGTCGTTGACTTCGTGATGGACATTTTCATATTTCCAAATGGAAGAACTCTGCCAAGTTCACTAGATTGGCCTTCAACCTATCACACTTGCCATCTATTATTGACCCAGAGTTCCGGAAGGGACAATTGGGAAACTTCCTTAAAGAGTGTTGGACCTCTTTTTTTTAATTCGACTTTCGACTGGCGTCCGTACAATAGTTAAAGAACCAAGTTTTCAAACATGGTTGGGGGGTTGTTCATTTAACATCCTCTAAAAAGCCGGGTACCATCGCCCGAATCCGCTTCCGGAGTCGGTGTTGATGATTTGGTATTATTCTCTAATACTTGGGAGTAGCAATGAGACAGCAGTTCTAGTTTGAATTTCCCTCGGAAAGTTACGTAATCTGATGATGACAAAGTTGACATAGACAACGAAGTCTCGTTGGGTTCTAAATAGAAGAAGCGTGAAAAATGTTGCCCGCACCGCTCTGTTGGGTTTAAGACAGAGCAATTACGGAAATGCCTCTATTCTCCGCATCCATTACATCTCACATTATTGTCCCCGATTTGTCTCGATTTCTTCTTGAACAAGTAGAATAGAGAGGAAAAATTCCGGGGAAACCCCCATACATGTATATGCTGGGTCAAAGTCATGTTCTTTCGAGTCAATCCAGAATGTTGTGGAGTACGAATGCTTAGAGTACATGGGTACCTATTTTGCGGTCTTACCCCACGGATCTGTAAACACCAGTTTATACAAAACGTCAACCAATGCCCCCACACCAAAACAGTACCAATCAATGGCACGTTTTTGGACGCCCTCACCTCCTTGGATGAGGAGCGGATCCCATCTAAAACTCCTGCCTTTCTATGGGCCAGGTATCCGGTTGCAATGCAATTCCATTCCTAGCCGAGCCGAGGCTCTACCCGCAATATGGGTATAAACGGCGGCCATCACCATGTTCCCCGAATGGCCAACACCATCTACCAGACCAGACCGTAGACCTACGGAAACTTTCGGTCAGGTTCATAGCCGAAGCTATTTCCAGAAGAGCCTCAAAAATTTCGAGACTCATCACCCACTTGTTCTTCTTGAACAAGTAGAATAGAGAGGAAAAATTCCGGGGAAACCCCCATACATGTATATGCTGGGTCAAAGTCATGTTCTTTCGAGTCAATCCAGAATGTTGTGGAGTACGAATGCTTAGAGTACATGGGTACCTATCTTACCCCACGGATCTGTAAACACCAGTTTATACAAAACGTCAACCAATGCCCCCACACCAAAACAGTACCAATCAATGGCAGTTTCATAGCCAAAGCTATTACCATTAGAATCAATATTTGCAGGCTCTCTACAATGGAACAATCGTTGGAAGGGAATAAAAAGTAAAAAAATAATTAAAGAAATGACAGACTTTTGACATACAAAAAATTGGCAGGACGTTTAAAAATAGGCCTATCTTGATTGTCAGGAGACCTTTAAGCTAATTATAGCCATTCCGGTTTGGAAGTGCGGCTGCTTATTCTATGGGTCAAGCATCCGGTTGTAATGAAACTCCACACCGAACCGAAGCTCTACCCACGATTTGGGTATAACCCACATCCAACACGATGCTCCCCGAAGGTCCAACACCATCTACCAGACTAGATCCGCAGACCTAGGGGCCCTGACACTCGAGCTACGGAAACTTTCGGTAAGGATCATAGACGAAGCTATTACCTGTAAAACCCCAAGCAGTTTGAGACTAGTCACATTTTTAGCCTCTGCCCAGCTTCATAGCCAAATCTACTACAATTAGAACAAATATTTGCGGGCTCTATACAATGGAAGAATCGCTGAAAGGGAATTAAAAGGGAAGGCATAATTAAAGAAAGAAAAAATTAAAACGCTTTTAAAATACCGAATATGGACAGGACGCTTAAAAAAAGGCCTATATTGATTGTCAGGAGAACTTTTGGCTAATTATAGCCATTCCGGTTTTGGAAATGCGGCTAGGGCCTTGAAAATACGTAAATTTTGTATGGGATCATAACAAAACATGGGCTTATTTGTATAAGACTATGTTTTGTTCCGTGAGTAAGGAACCATGGAACCGGCATGTCAAATTACAGAGATTTCGATTTATGGGGTCCAGAATGAAATAGGAAATAAACATTTCTAATAATCTCACTTTCTTTCCCTCTCACATGTCATTTCTCTTTCAGTTTCTTGGCAAACCGAATCACAAAGATCCACGACATGGTCTTATCTTCCGATCGTTTGTGTACCTCTTCCAGTTGATAAGGAATCGTCAGGATACATCCTTTGTATTGAAGGCCTCATTTATGGAAATCTACAATGAAAGGGTGAGTAAATATGTATGTAAATATCAATTCCAGTGAATTTTGAATCATCCAATCCCTTAAGTAAACTTCGTGTGCAGTTCTAGGCTATAAGGTTAATTAACAAAAGACTTGGCCTAAAAAACAGAGTAATTTTAATTAAACATTATCCTTCCGTCTCCCCCCAAAACATGCATTGTATTAAAGTTTAGATAATCAAAAAAAACTGTAATTAAAAAAATAGCAACAACAATAACGTCGACGACTACAAAACCAACAAAACGAAAATTACAACTCTAGCATGCAGCGGAATAAAATGTTGTGACCCATTCTAAATATTTTGCGTGGAATTTTAAATGAATTTGGAATGAATTTTTTCTATTTGCTCTTCTTCGTCACGCCTTCTCAATTTTGCATGTCAATGTGCACAATAGCAACAACAACAACAACAAAAACAAAATTCAATTTAAATAAAAGCCAAGACTGCACGAGGTACAGGCAGACAGATAGACAAACTGCAGTCAAATGTTATTGCAACTGGGTTCCGCACGTTCGTCATTATCGTTCAGCGATGTCGATGAAATTCCCCATTTTCACAGGTTAATGGGGTCAATTCAATTAAACGATGAATTGTCCGTTGTTGTTGTTGCGCCAATTTAAATAACGTCCATTCACATGTCCTGCAAATCGATTGCTCAATGGGTTTAGCACATTTTTTGTCGTCCAAAAATGAGTTCGTGTATTCAATATGTCGTGCATTTTCAAATATTCAAAGTGTTTTCAATTTTCTTCCCTTTCAACAGGTTATCGATTTGCTGAATCCCGGCTCCCAGCGCAAACCCTTGTCCGTGCGATGGTCAAAGAAATCCGGTGGATTTTTTGTTGAAAATTTATTCACGGTCGATTGTGAAGAGTTGGATGATTTGTTGGCTGTCCTGGAAGAAGGTAAGTGTAAAGAATTGTGATTGATTAGTCGATTTATTGCCAACACAAATTAAATAGAAAGGGAATATTTTTACTGAAGAATATGGTTTAAAAAATAAATATAGGGAAATACTACGCATTTAAAAATGTTATCTTCAAAATAAAATAATAATATGAAATTATTTAAAATGTATAAAAGCAATCGGGAATTTTAGATGGGGGAATACCATGACAAATTTTTGGTAGGAAGATTTGCTTCCCAATGAGAACCTAAATAACTGAAGAATTGCGTTTTGATTTTGTGGCAAATCTCCCTATCCATAACACAAAAATCGGGTCTCCTTATAATATAGTCTCCATATAACGGTGCCTACTACATCGATATTTTTTGATTTTCCAACCAAATTGGATGTAAATCGAAATATAGACTTTTATACGGCAAAAATGTACCTCATGGAAATATTGGTTTTAGACCCCATGTTTCTTTAAACCAAATCCGTTTTTGACAATTTATAGTCGTTTTACAATTGGTCATCCATCTGTCTGGCCGGCCAGTGTGCACGAAGGGAGTAACCGATTTCATCCCAACTTTCCACATTCTTATATGTCTTCCACACTTTGTTCAAATTCGAAGATGGGGAACATCGGTCCACTAATTTAATAATAACATGCGAACAGACTATCCGATTTGAACCATATTTTGTTCAACCTATTATCTTTACCATGCCTAGGTCAAGTCCGAACTAATTGGTCCACACCTTCTGGTACTGCCCCCACAAATGGTCAACTTTTTCAATCTTTATAAATTTAAGGAAAGGAATGTCCGATTTGAACCAAACATCGCATAACCTATTATCTTTACAAGCCTAGATGAAGTCCAATAGTGGGTCTATGTTTTATATACTTCCAAATTAAATTTGAAGCAAAGTAACCGATTTGATGAACATTAAAACCGAAACTTCTTTGATAAAAACATATTCCTTATACAAAGCAAGTCATAAAACATGTGCGCAATTCAAAAGACCCCCGCAAAACAGGTTGAGGGTATATATTTGACACTTTTTTTACGGAGTATATTTGGAATATTCTATTTAATTTTAAGAACATATCTTCACAGAACTCCATATCTATATTTTCTGGAAGCAATAGAGTACGTTCTATATACGACGTCTTCAATAACTCCAATACATTTAACGCTGTGTTTTTAGACATACCAGGAAATCATGTCTGGCGTCGTCACATCGGCTAATAACGTAATCGGCTTCATTGTAGATTTTCTCCAATGCAAAATCATAAATTCTGAAGTTCTTGACGAAGATTGAGAAATAGAATTATAGATGATCTCGCTTGATGCCATTCACTTTCTTTATAATGGTTTTACGCATTCATGTAATCCGCGTCAGTTCCGAATTTATTTTTCCAAACTTAATCTGGGATGCAAGTTGTTTCAGTTCTTTCAACTCGACTTGAATAATGTTTAGCCATTCCTTTAGTAGACCTACTGTCCGGCGTTTACCTCCTAGGCGCCTCGATTAAATTCGAGTAATCTGCTTTAGTTCTGAATTTATTTTTTCATCCTTAAACTCGGATGCAAGTTGTATCAGTTCTTCCAAATCATGTTGAATAAATGAATAATGTTTACACAACTCCTGGCGTCAAGATTAAATCGTCTGTAGTTCCTCGTTACTACTGCTCATCAAGTCTTTTTCCCAGGATTCTCTGGAAAAATATGACTCTTTTTCCATCTCAATTTTTTAGATAAAAAAACTGTTCTCATGGAACAGAAATTCTTGAGATCTCTATTCAAAACTGCTATTGCATTTTTTTTCTCAACCAATTGCTTTTAATATTTTGTCCTTGCTGGTTCCACTGAGTTTCTTATTTGATAGCCAGTGATTGTATAAACAGAGGAATTTCACCACAGTCAAAGCTGCTACAACAATGATTCCCCAAAAATGTCTCATTTCTGCTAAACGATCAGTAAGAGGGTCGTAACATATCATTTAGAGTTCTATCTTGTTTCTCCTCCCTATGGAAGACTTCCCCTTTCATCACCGAAGACTTAGAGCATGCATTCTGTGGCGAACTCGCTGTCTCATCCTCTGACGAAAACCGTGAATTCCGGTTATTCATTTCTGAGTTGCCGGGCTTCACGGAATATTCGGATGCAGTGCTCGTCATCTGGATATTAGAGTCGGCATCGCAATAATCAGTCGGTAGGCTTTGCCGTTACTATCAGTCAATGGTAACCTCTTTTTTGCGGGTTTGGCATTTTTCTGCCTTTCCGGAGACCTAATTCTCTTCGCCAATTCCGATTAAGGGGAGGAACCATCAGGTTTGTACTTCTGAGCATTGACTTGCTGTTTAGTGTTGTTTTTTCGGTTCATTCAAGCTAATTTTAGCTTCTGTGCTCCGGATAACTTCTTCTTTCTTGTCTTGTAGAGCTTGGCGATTTTCTTGCTAACCGTCTTTCCTCATTAGCCATCTTATCAGTTTCTGTGCTACTTCGGGACTCTAAGACGGTTATATTTGTCATGTCTTCATGTTCAAACTCGGAGTTTAAGGTTGGATAAAATATATTTGAAATGTCACACTCATACATTGCCATGCCATCAATAGATTTATATTTATTAATTTGCTTGTAATATTCAAAAGGTGGTGTAGGGCATCATATAGTCGACTTTTCTGATCTTGTTTCATACCTTACTGTACTTTTAGTAAAAAGTTGCAAAAATGGTAAAAAATTGTAACCATATTGTATCTAAATATTTAGGTTATGAGTTTTGTTATGAAGGCCATTTACGAACTATGTTTTCTATTGACATCAAAATTACTTAAACACGTTTTATACTAATCATTTACATTTCCATAGTTAATTTCACAATACGAATAGCAGACAATTTTACGCTAAATTGATATTGAACTTTTGAATTAAATTAGTGTGTCATTTTGATTACAAATGGACTTTCCATTTCGCTAATCAAAAATCAATCACAAAAAATTTATTGAAAAATTTTGTTTCTACTCTTTTTTTGCATTGAAAATGTGGGTTATATGTGGATAACATTAATTTTAATGTTTGTATGTACATCAATATAGAGCTTTACGTTAATGGAATCGACGCTAAAATAACATTGAAGTATATTAACATTAGATACTAAGTGAAAATATAGAAATTGGTATCGGAGAATAAGAACTCTGGATTAATATATTTAGAAAACTGATGAATGAGTTCTGGTACGAAATATAATATTCTGTAGTTTTAATGGTCTATATTGTTACGTATTTGGGCGTATTTTTACCCCGTGTAAACGTTGTTTTATTCCCCGATACTCCGTATCATGGCACAATAAATAGGTAGTCCCATAATGCAATAATAAGGTGATGTATCAAAACAAAAACATTTGTTTTTGTCTCGACCTTCTGCCAAATTTGTTTATAATATTTCACATGGTTGGCAACACTGCACATCGAATTCAAGTAGAAATTACCCACTTTGTCAGTTAATCGAGACATCAGCTGCGCTAAGTGGACTACCTATTTATAGAGCCATGGGTAGTCCATTAGCGCAGCTGATGACTCGATTAACTGTCAAAATGCGTAATTTCTACTTAATTCGAGGTGCAATGTTGCCAACCATGTGAAATATTTGGTCTGTTCCAGTACTTTTTTAATAGTAAAGCTAGTAAAAGGGACATTTTTCAAAATTGCTTTCAGAGTACAAAATAATTGGAAAAGTTCGGGAACGCAAATCTATAAATATGCCAAAATTAGATGGCAATACTTCAAAATCAACATAACAGCCAGTCAGAAGTAGGCATTCCTGTTTACCATTTTTACTCGGCCAAATTTCACGAGTAAAAAGTTTACAAAGAGAACGCCATTTTGTTTTGTGCTCTCTTAAATTTTTGTGGGTTCAGGAACGGTTCTCGAGTAAAAAGTTGAAAAACTTGTAAAATTGGTAGATTCTTTTAGGTACTGGAACGGAACTATTATATGGAATAAATTGACAAAATAAAAACCTTTGTTTTTGTCTCGACCATCTGTCAAATTGTTCCTTATGACATTTCACATGATTGGCAACATTGCACATAGACATAAGCTGCGCTAAATGGACTACCTATTTATTGTGCCATGGATAGTTCAAGTAGCGCAGCTGATGTCTCGACTAATTGACAAATTGGGCTATTTCTACTTGAATTCGGTGTGCAATGTTGCCAACCATGTGAAATACTTTAGGGAAAAATTTGACAGATGGTCGAGACAAAAACGAAAGTTTTTGTTTTGATACTTCACCTTACTATTGCATCATGCTTTATGAAATAAAACACGGATCCTTGCAGGTCGCGATTACTACAATGCTTTACGTAACTGACAGTTCCAATTCGCGATCTAATTTACCACTGCATTGCCATGCTCTAGAAAATATACCATGCTAGGGATAAGTAAATCGACTTTCGACTAATCGACTTTTTGTCTTGAAAAGTCTAAAAGTCGAAGTCGACTTTTGGCCTTTGAGAAAATCGCAAAGCCGACATTCGATTTTCTTCATAAATTCTTGGTTTATATCACAAAGACGAAATTGTCTAAAAATTACACAAGACACAGATCATGGTACAATGAATAGGTAGTCCATTTAGCGCAGCTGATGTCTTGATTAACTGTCAAAGTGGGTAAGTAAGTGGGCAGTGTTGCCAACCATTTCAAATATTATATGGAAAAAATTGACAGATAATCGAGACAAAAACAAAGGTTTTTGTTGGTATACATAACCTTATTATTGCATCATGACACAGATAATAGGAAAGAGCGGAAAAGGCTATGAACATGGCCGAAACGTTGCATACATTTACCAGTAACCGAGACTGCGGATGAGGCAAACATATTCGTCATTCGTAGTTCGTTAACATCCACTTCGGCATAAACAAGTGAAACATATAACCGTATCGTAATACCAAGTGAATGAGAATTATTTGATATTTCAAGTAAGGTGGTTGTCGGTGAATGCATTGAAATTGATGAACACAATGAGGTGGGTTGATATTGATTGGGGTAGTGATAAATAGGAAACGGTTACGTTACAGATGGTTGGCCTTTAATCTGATATGGGGGATACACAAAAATGTGTAATGGGGTCTATATATTCAAATATTGTTTAATAGTACAAGTACCAAACAATATATTGCAAATATCGCCAAATTTAGCTAGACTCGGGATTTTGGATTTGGGAAAGTTAAATTTCAGTGGTAGTTGATCTTTTCTTGGAACTAAGATTTCTCATTTTGTTTTGATGTCTCATAATTGTAAAATATTATTCTCCTATCTTTCAGGAATGCGAAATCGAGCTGTAGGGTCCCATGCTATGAATGATCACTCCTCCAGATCACATACCATACTCACTGTGCACATAATATCCGAACAACAAACCGATGGTGGGGTGTTCCTATCCAAACATGGAAAAATCAATTTTGTGGATTTGGCAGGAAGTGAGCTAACCAAGAAGACCATGAGTGAGGGCAAGACATTGGAGGAGGCCAATAACATCAATAAGAGTCTGATGGTGTTGGGTATGTGAATAAAACATCTATATTTCTAGAACATTATTATTAAAAATCGTACCCCATTATTTCAGGTTATTGTATTGCCTCGCTGAGTGATAGTAAGAAACGATTCGGCCATATACCCTATCGAGATAGTCAGCTGACAAAATTACTTGCGGATAGCTTGGCGGGAAACGGCGTCACTCTAATGATTGCATGTGTCTCACCGGCCAATTATAACTACGCTGAAACTTTAAATACCCTACGATATGCATCGCGCGCAAAACGTATACGTACGAAACCCGTTATTATGATGGATCCCCGGGAGGCGTTAATATTAAGTCTTAAACGTGACATTAATGCTCTACAAATGGAAAATGAACATTTGAAGGCAGCCCTGCACTATCATCACAATACAATACGAGAGGCTAGCATAAGTGCGGAAAATAGTGAAGAAGTAGTCGAAGTTCCGATGGATAATGGTGGAGGTCCAATACCGAAAGTTAATTTGGAACGTTTACCCGAATTAGATGGTAGTGAGTTGGCGGAATTGGTGAAATTGTATATGCAAGAAAATGAAGCGTTAAGACAGGAGAATAATCATTTGTTTACCGTGCGTGAAACAATACTGCGGGATCAGGAAATTGTTTGTCGTGAAAATGAACGTTTGCTCAAGAAATTGGAAGATGTTAATAAGTAAGTATAACGACACGACGTTTATTTTTTAAGAGTGGGAAGGCTAATCCAAGGGGAAATGTGTATGAAATCGGTGTGACATTATAGGACCGGGTCAAACTTAAGACAACAAAAAGGAAATCTATTCTGAGGAAATGGAATGCATAATATAAATTTCTTTACAATTGAATGAGAAACATTTCTAACACAACCGTGTTGGTTGGTAAATATGAATAGATATTTCAAATATTTAACATCGGTCAGGACCAACTTAAATTGTGCCTAAATTGAAAATTTCCCCTATGGAGGATTTTTAGCCATTGAGAATTGACAGAATTTTACTCTGATGTAATACACACTTCAGAGTACAGAATTTTCTGACCGATTCTTTCATACTGAATGATGCTCCTGTACAGCTCCTCTTTACTTTGGTCAGTCTCCCCTCAAAGCCCAAGTTTAGGTTTTATTGGTCCCACTTATTTAATTCTCTTCGGGTATACTTTTCTCAGAATTAATTAACTATGATGTCTTGACATTTTGCAGTTCTCATGATGAATGCTCATGAGAACTGCAGTGCTACCCTCTAGTTCTGTAAGAGGTTCAGAACTAGAGGGTAGCACTAGCATTCGCGAACCACACTGACCACAGACCGACTTATCGCTTTATAAGAGGTCAACAAGGGTCCCTTATTCGCGCTTTGAGAACCCTGTTTCTAAATTTCTAATTACCGCAGATAACTCTAGGATAGTTAGTGGTCGGAATTGTATGCCCCTCGATCTGCACAATGGATATTTTTATATTCCTAGTGTGGACGAAGACTGCTAAATCGACGAAATAGCTGTTCGACCTTACTCATATGTCCTCAATGATCGGACCCTAGACCATGATCGCACAATCTGACATCTTAATCTCATCTGGAAAGGGGTGTGGATTAACGGAGATCTTGACATTAAACAGCTCCGATGATATCACCCCACCCTTTAGAACTTCCTGCTTTTCTCTACGGTGTTTGGACTTTTTATTCCGGTACGTCACACATATAATTGATTATCCAACATTTCAAAATTGGCCGGACAGAAGTAGTCTCGATGCCCTCAAGCAGTGTGACATAATTGACGGTATCAATGGCTTTTGTTTTATTGTACGGCCAGTTCCGGGTTTATCGTCGACTTATACGCATGGAGATGGCATGAAATGCTGTTGTTGTGCTGCGGTGCATGCGGAACTCTCTTCTTCGTCCTCGCTACTAGTGACAAAAGTCAGATCGGTATTTACGATTTACTTTTTCTGGTATCCTTCAGTAGACTTCAGTAGTGGGACCACCTTGCCCATTGGAAACGATCTGGGTGGCTATCAACAAATTTAGGATTTTTGTCAGATACTCAACTCCAGTAGTTCAGCATTACTATGAAGAATCCGTCAGGGCTCAGTTTTCGATTACTTAGCTCACCCATTGTAAACAGTGGTGATACCGCCTCGACGGGGAGTCACATCGTTCACAGTTTCGTTGTTGAAAGTGACTGAGGTCCTAGTTTCCTTCTAACTAAGGTCCGACAGCGGCTTAACCGTTGCCCACAGTTTACTCATACCGTTTCTGATACTTTTACGCTCCGGTATAATCTGCTAATCTCCAACGTGCCTCCCTAACCCTGGGATCTGCTAGGTAAGATCGAAAAAGCTTATCGCGCTCATTTGCTAGATCTGCTGGGGAATTTGGTCTCATATCGGGAATTTCCTTTCTGGCACCCGTATATCAAAAGGAATGGAAAGATCTCTGAAACGATGGTTGATGAATTCCTGCCAATTGGCTGTTAATAAGCAAAGTGATGGAATCTGGTGGTCTGCTGATGGAGATAATTATAGGTGAACTGATCCATACATTCTATGTATGGGTCACTAGAGTTTAACTTAAGCGAGATATGTCCAAAGGCTAAGCGCCCATCTTCACTTTTGGTGCGATCCTTCCTCAGAACGTTGTAGGCTAGAATTTTTATTGAGCTTGGTTTCTTCCACCGCGACCAACATATTCTTCCGATTCATAAAAACCACTATCTCATCTATTTTTCCCTCGATGGCCGTTGCATTCAAATTGCAGAACTGATGCATAATCAGAAGTATGAACAGCAGCGCATGGCGTTTAATGCTGCAGATTGCGCTGCTGTTGAGGATACTGCGTAGGAGTTCCATATTCAGATGAAGGAAAAGGCGTCATGATCGAAGAGTCGCTGGGCATATACTGTCGTGAAGGCTGTCCGTGAGGGCAGTTTCGATGATTGTGTTGTGATGTCCGTTGCCGCGGTCCCTTGGGTCCTTTGTGCAGTCCGTGAGGACAGCATGTTAATTATTTGTGTTGAGTGTATTTGTTCATCGTCGTTACTGCCAGTGGCAAGGCTTTGCTTGCTACTTGTGATTTTGCTGCTACGTGTTGTTTATTTTTGTATTGGGATACCAGTTCGGGCTTGCGTCGAATTGGGAGAGGCTTCGGTCTCGAGCCTGATCGGAGGTTTTCCGTACCTTCGGGTGTCTGCTGCCCCTGAATCTGTAGATCCAGTCTAACAGTTGGTGTGGCCACCTGGGGAGCCTCGCGGGTGTTGTGGTTTCGCCCCTCACCAATGGGCGAATGCAGCACTTCGGTGCTGGTGCGCTGGTGGGCGTAATTCCGACTGTGGCTTAGCCACTGTGAGGTCGGCCGATAGGCATGAACTCACATAAATGTCTCCGGACACTTTCTCAAAAACATTGGTATATGTTATAATAACGAGCAAATGAGTTCTGTCAGCTTATGGTCCAGATGGCATCTTCATGATAATGCCCTAATAATACGTTTACAATATACCGGATTTATAAAAAAACCTGTAGGCCTAAATTGTCAATTCCATTACATATATGTCAAAAAAATCCTCGGCAAAAAGCCGTGCAACCAGAGATAATCCAGAATAATTTGTATAATCTTTATTTATTTGTACTTAGAATTGAAAATGACCAAGAATTAGTATTCAGAGTCGAGTAAAAAATGGGTTTGAGTCTCTACACAAATAGGTAACCCAACAGCCCTGGTTACGATACGGTACGTAGTTAAGAATATGTTGACTGATTTCCATCGCATTTCCCCTTTGGTTATGTAAATCCCCAAAGACTTTTTGCTTTCATGTTGAAAACGAGATAGTTAAGAATATGTTGACTGATTTCCATCGCATTTCCCCTTTGGTTATGTAAATCCCCAAAGACTTTTTGCTTTCATGTTGAAAACGAGATAAGAACTCATTATTTCCCATTATCGATTTTCTCGTTTTAGATCGAGACTCGTCAATGAGAATAATGAGTGGGCAGCTCAAATAATTTGAAATGCAAGCAAAAACAAAATTCAAATATTTTAAAACGCACAATTCACATAGAAATTGATGACAAAAACACAGTATTACGTGTGCCACTTTTACAATAACAAAAACAAATATTTATCTAATATTAATAAAAAAAATATATATTTTTGTGTATATTTATGTGTAACAATGGCATTATGATTTCATTTTATTTGTTTGTACATTAAAATCATAACATCTTTTGTTATTTTCTGTGGTATTTTGGTGTTAATTTATTTTGTATTACTCCAATTTTTTTTTTAATTTTAAATTTGAAAATCTACAAACAAAACCCTTTAAAGAGTTTGTGTTCGTTCTCCTTTGATTCCGGCCAGGGCGGCATTATCCTCAGCATCCGGTAGTGAGACACCGGGAACGGAAATCTGGACAAATCCTCAAGATTCGCCGGATGAAAGAGATGTGGGTATTCCTTAATGCGAGATTTTTGCTTTTATTGATAAATAAATTTGTTTCCGAATTTCCCACAGCCAAAAGATTTACAAGGACGTATTTCGGAAAATAATGAAAAACGTTCCGATGAGGAACAACGTAAAATTGATCAGGAACGCATTGCCCGTAACATTATTGATATGGCCAATAAATTTCCAAGTAGAAATGTAAAGGAAGAGGGCACCAACACAACTATACCGGCTAATTCGAATGATGCAAATCCAGATGTTAATGGATTTTTACCGGAGTAAGTACAATTTTTTATTGTACCATTTTATTGATACAATAAAAAAGTAAAATTGGTCGGGAACATGAACAATAATATGGTGATGTTGTATCAAAACAAAAACATTGGTTTTTGTCTCGACCATCTGTCAAAATTCTCCATATAATATTTGACATGGTTAGCAACATTGCACATCAAGTCATCAGTTGCGCTAAATGTGCCATGGTCCGAAAAAACGAAAGAATGCAACTCTGTTGTGATGTTCTATTATGTCATATTTTCTCAACTAATTCTTTTTTTTATTGTACCATGGTAATTCAGATTCAGAAATTTTTTACTTTTTCTGTTTGAATTTGCCATTGACTGACTTACAAATATGAAAATTTTAAAATTTGTTATTTTCTCGTTCTCTCTTACAGCATGTTAACCTAAAGGAAATTGTATATGGCGTGATTTTGATCCAATGGTTTCAAACTTTTTACAAATGTTAAACTATATTCATATTTCGTTATTAATTTAAGAGCTTAAAATATATTTAGTTGAAATAAAGATAATTAGCAAGACATACATTTTGTGATTTTTTTTTTGAACAAATGTTAACACTCTAAAATTATGCTGGGAAGAACAATTGGGCTCAAAATCATAAAAACTACGAAATAAGCCTCAAAATTATTATTTTGTTAAATATTTTTTTCAGATGCATATAATATATACCGATTCCTGGTGTTCAGACACCCGTAGTAAAACTATCTGCAGAATATTTTTTCCATTGACAATGATGCGCTAAATGTCAAAAAAAAGTGATAAAGTGAAAAAAAAAATGAAATTTGAATGAAATTTTATCGCGAATAATAACTCTCTACGTCGTCGTTTTTCGAAAAAAAATTGAATTAGAATATTTTTAACAATAATTGTTGTTAACTATATAAAATTCGTCCTATATTCGTTTTTATTCTTTGAGTGGGCCTCCTCTTCTTATAAGTCCACATTTATTACACCATATTCTTTCCCAATATTAGGTGTGTCTGGTTACTTTTCCAGTAACATTTATTCAGTAAGTTCTAGTTCAGAGAGTAAGCCTTTCTTACCCTCTTTTGCGATAATACTGAAAAAAGTAAACAGACAACATTTAGTAAGATTTAGCAAATAAACAGCTGATTCAAGAAAACATTTGATTTGCGCCAAAATAAACAACAAACAAAGGACGAACACAAATATTTGTATTGCATTTAATATTAAAAATAAAATTAATAATAAAAGAAAAATTGATCTGGTATGTTCCCCGGGAACATTTAAGCTCCCTGCATCAATACATTGCCCTCTATCTGGAACTTGCCTAAAAATATATAAGGAATTAGTTTCTAATTTAATGATATAATGCATTACTTACGAATTTTCTTCAATTTTCTGTAACTAACATCAAATTGAACTTTGCAAATTAAAAAAAAAAGTGTTAAAAATTTTTTTGTTTTTGGTCAGAAAACAGCTGATCAGAAAATGGCTGAGTTGCAAAATCTTGCTGAATAAAATTCTTTCAGTAAACTCCAGCAACTATGTTGTTGTTCAACTGTCAAACTTGCTCTCTCGCTTGACTCTCTTTTACTGGATTTTTGTGTAAACAGACAACATTTAGTAACATTTGGTAACAATTGTTACCAAATATCGAGTTAACAGACAGAGCTATTGTAATTGATGAATTTATTGTGTAGAATACAAGACACATTAGGTGTGTCTGGTTACTTTCCCTGCAGGAATTGTCCAGTAACTTCTTTCTGAGAGAGTAAGGTAGTTTTATTCTCTTTTGCAAGAAAAATGCGAAAAGTAAACAGACGGCATCCCTGCAGAAGCTTGCAACTAATCAGCTGATTTGTCAAAACAAACCAATTTGTCCGCCATTATAAAGAATTAAAAGAAAGAAAACACAACCAGTATAACAAGTTTTTGAAATAAAAAGGAAATAAAATAAAAAAATGAGCAATAAAAGAAAGATAGATTAGTCTTGCTAATTCCAAAAAAAAATTATTTTCAAATTGAAAGCACAAAAATAAATAAACAAACAATAGAAAACATCTGATTGAATGTCGATGTATGAGAAGAAGAAGAGTTGCAAGAGATTACAAGAAGAAATTTTTCCAGCAAGAATTTGCAAACTCTCACTGAAAGAACTGTCAAAATTTCTCTCTCCAACCGCTCTCTTTTGCAGAACTTTTGGGTTAACAGACGACTTCCAGTAACAATTTGTAACAATTGTTACAAACTTTAGGGTAACCAGACACACCTAATAACATGCGTATTTTCATGGGGGTCAAATTAATCAACCTTATTCTGGATGTCTATTTACCATGAATTTACTCGTTCTTCCGCTTCGACTTATTCTGAACAACATTTCCCTGTGAATTTTTTCGCATTCTCGCTTTCGCCTTATTCTGAATGAAGTTCGAAAGCGAAAAAATCCGCTTTGGGGAAAAATTAGGTATTCTGGATTACAGGGAGTAGGAGAATGAGATGAAATTTTGTTCGCTAATAAATTCAAAGGGAGCTGACTACAAAAACATAAGTAATAAATATTTTTATGAAAAATATTTACACAATACTTACTCTATGATGATTTAAAATATTATATATGATTGTATGCAAATTTTTAACTGGAAAACAACAAATAAACAGCCTTATTCTGGGTATTCTTTGGGAGATATCTCGCATGTAGAAAAATTTTCGCTTTCACATTCTCGCCTTATTCTGAATGCATAGGGAGGCGCAAAAAATGCGAGATGCGGATTCGAGTTTTCGAAAATGGTGGTTGAAAAAAAGATTTGTGTTGCCATATTGTAATTTAAGTTGTAATGTGTGTGGCCATATTGTAATTTATGTTGCAATGTGTGTTACCCCATTGCAATTTAATTGTGTAATATTTTTCAATATATTATTTATGGATTTTTTTAATAAAAATGTGATTTAAACTTTATAACAATATAAATATATAATATCAGTAATCCGCTGTATAAATGCTTTGTAATTAAAAGAAAATAAATTAAAGTTTAAAAATATGGCAACCTACAATATGGCATTTGAAACAGCTGTTCATTGTTTTGATGTAATTTGGTGCAACAACTACAATAGATTACAAATAAAAGAACATTTTTTTATGATGGCAAAAATACAACGAATAATGGGAAGAAATCTGTGATTGAATTAATTAATTCACAGTTTATTATTTCACTACATAATTGTGTGCCTTTTTATTTAATTTCGATATTTATCTCCCCAAATTCTTAAAGTGACCAGTTATGTTATGATTTGCTTCTACTCCTTTATTTCTTCCTTCAAATGATGCACACGATAATTTAAAAAAATATATTTTTTGTAGCTTTATTTGTGTTCTTTCATAATTTTTATTTAAGTTTTTCACTGTTAAGCGGCTCATCAGGCTAATTTGTTTTTTCCATAATTTTTTTTTTTTTTCTTGAGAGACAGATCCCAAAATGGTTGTATTTCGCCTCCAAAATGCATCAAACTCGACTTAAGGGGTCGGGGTCAAAATTTTTGTTGAATCGAATCTACACTGATTAAAGAATGTCTCTACAAAATTTCAAGTGAAAATCTCAAGAACTCTTGAAGATATAGCCGATTTATTGTGTCAGCTGAAGGGCTTCTCAAACTTTAAACGCGTTTTTCTCTAAACATTTTTTTGCGAATGGCGGACACGATAACTCAAAAACTAATAATCCAATCGGTTCCAAATTTTGCAACGTTTCTCTGGGAGTGTATGTCTCTCGTATGAACTAGGGTAATCGGTAAAGATCTTCCTTATTTTTTAACTTGGTTTTTGGTAAAAAATCGGCGATTTTCCAAAAATATTTTTTCAAAGGTACACCATTTTGTTAATTTTAGAGCGAAGTCAATAATCCTAGTTCATACGAGAGCCAGATATGTACTCTTTCTAACACCGTTGGAATTTTCGGATTCCGATGTTCCAGTGAGGAGTTATCATGCCCGCCCTTAAAAAATAAGGAATTTTCTTTAATTACAAAAAACAACAACAAAACAATAACAAAAATTTTTTGAAAATGTTTTTTCTTCTCTTTTAAATCTTCAAATATATATGTGCGAAGTTACAAACCTTAACAAGCATTGGTATTGATTTACCAGCCCATTGAAAATCTTGAAAAAGTTAAAATCGAGAATGGGTGGGGTTCCCTTAAATATTCCTTATTACCTCCATACATTCCTTGGCAATATTTGGTTCAGCATGTATCGTTATCAATAGGATTTCCAATGTCAATTTATTTGTTGTTTTCCAGTTAAATATTTGCTTACTATCATTTATAATATTCTAAATCGTCATAGAATAAGTATTGTGTAAATATTTTTCATAAAAATATTTATTCGCCCATGCATTTCGAGTTTGCTCGAATGTGAAACATTTTCCCAAATTTGGTGTGCTCCATTCCGAAAAAATATTTGGAATATAATTCGAGAACATATAGCCTTGTGGATTGAAAACGAAATGATATCGTACGTGTTTTTCTGAGCATGTACAAGTTGAAAAATAACTCTGAAGTAATATTTAACGTGTTTTTACAATATTTTTTTAAATACAGTATTTACATTAGTTTTTATAGTAAAAACTAATGGAAACCAGGGCAATTAATAAGCCAGCAGGCATATTTTTTCTTAATTTTGTTGGTAAACAAATTGCAAATTCCAATGAAACATATGTTTTTTTATTGAACACATTTCGTAACATATTGAACACAGCTATGCTTTCGAGCCGCACTTTCGCTCGAAATTGAGCACACCATTTTGCACAACATGGGAATTTAAAAAAGTATGGGAATTCAAAAACTCTCGGAACATGTCATGGGCGATTACTTATGTTTTTGTAGTCAGCTCCCTTTGAATTTATTAGCGAAAAATTTCGCACAAAATTTCATCTCATTCTCCTACTCCCTATAATCCAGAATACCTAATTTTTCCCCAAAGCGGATTTTTTCGCTTTAGAACTTCATTCAGAATAAGGCGAAAGCGAGAATGTGAAAAAATTCACAGGAAAATGTTGTTCAGAATAAGCCGAAGGGGAAGAGCGAGTAAATTCACATGGAATTGACATCCAGAATAAGGCTGAAAATGTCATTGAAAATCCTATTGATAACGATGCATGCTGAACCAAATATTGCCACGGAATATATAAAGTTAATAAGGAATATTTAAGTCGAGTTTGATGCATTTTTGAGGAGAAATACAGACATTTTGGGTGAGGATCTGTCTCACAAGAAAAAAATTTTAAAATTTATGGAAAAATCAAATTTGCCTGATGAGCCGCTTAATAGTGAAAAGCTTAAATAAAAACTATGAAAGAACAAAAAAGTGTTCGCAAAAAAACGGTACACTATCGTAGTGTACCGTACCAGGAACACAAACACTAAAAAAAT